CGGAAGAGAGATTCCATGGCAGGAACGGCATGTCCGCTCTCTCCTTAACCAGCTTGCCGAAGAGGAGGTCACCCCATGCAAGCTACGGCAGGTATGGAACACCCTCAAGTGGTTTTCCAAGACCTTTGGGTTGCTGAAGATAGACGAGCTCCATCGCCTCAAGTCCAAGAAGAGCTCATTGGAAGAGGCGCTCACAGACACGGTCACCAGGCCACAGCGCAAGGCGGTGGTCCCCAGCAAAGAGGTCATATGGGCCCTGGAGGAGGGGGCCGGCTACGATCGCCTGGGTGCCACCGGCCCCGGTACGCAGGCGGCCCCGCAGAGGAGCAGACACGAGGTGCTGGACGCTTTCATCCTGGGTTTCGCCCGGTTCCAGGTTGGGTGCAGCGCTCGTTTTAATGACCTCCAGCATGTTCATCCCAAGGACCTTATCCACACCAGCAACACTGTGGAGCTGAAGGCCTGGCAGACCAAGACGGTCTCAGCAGCACGAATCAACCGCAACCCGGTCCCCTTGATTGCTCCGAAGTACAGCTTCACGGGGATCCCCTGGTGGAATACCTGGGTGGCCTCGGTCAGGCGACACACCCCGGCGGCGGCTAGGGAGAATGGTCCCCGGGACCTGGGATTCCAGGATGGGGAGAATGGGTTCAACGCCCAGACCTCGGCCTTCACGGCGATGCGCCTCCTTCAGGCAGTTCGGGTGGCAGCCAACTTGGTCCGGGGGGGCAACCAAGGTGACCACCCGGCGGGCCAGGCGGGCCCGACAAAGGCGCCCTTGGAGGTCCTGTGTGACAGGCGCCAGCTGGAAGATGCGTACGTGGCCACGCATGGGACCCCGAAGCCGAGGTTGGAGTTCCAAGGGAGTGATGGCTACCTCAAGAAGCAATGGCGCATGATTGCCAAGGGTGAGCTGGGCTACATCCCGGCAAAACATATCGTGAGCGCGCTCCCGGAAGAGGGGGAACGCCCCTCATCCACCCACAAGAAGATCACGGTGGACGGCTGGGACAGGGAGGATGAAGAAGAGGTGAGGAGCCACCCTACATCTCGGCGCCAGCTGGAGCGATTGCACCTAACCTTCAGGACGACGCTCCTGATGTGCACGGCAGCACTGCCACAGTTTGGTAACCTGAGGGTCACCAAGGAGGAGTTGGACGATTGGTATGCCTGGTTCTATGGGGAAGACATAGCCGGCAGGAAGCCTCCCCCGAGCGACACCACCTTGCTGTTCGCAGAGCGCAATGCATGGCGCAAGATTCACGAGATGGTGCACCAGGGCACCACTCTCTCCGAAGCCCTCAAGAACATCAGGGGCGACTTCCTCTTCTGGCAACAGGAGGTCTATGAGCACCTCAACAGGGCACCGGAGAAGGGGAAGAGCAAGAGCAAGGCACCCAAGGTGTGGCAGACTCAGTGGGAGAAGCCCAAGAAGGGGGGAAAAGGTTCCTGGCCCTCGGGGCCGACCCGGTCCAAGCCGAAGGGCAAGGGCGGCAAGGGGAAGTCCCCCAACACCCCCGCGACCCCATGGCCGGACCACTGGGCTTTCAAGAATCCCAAAGGGGTGGCGTACTGCAGAGATCATCACCTTCACAACAAGTGTTCGGGATCATGATCCCACAACTGCCCGGTCAGGAAGGATGGGTGGGTGTGTGATGCCCCCCCATCGAAGCATGTGCCACAGGCATGCCCACACCTTCCCAAGTGACAGGAGGCCACTCAGGGTGCCATAGGCCCCGTGGCTTCCTGGTCTCCGTTGGGATCACAGGCCACCAGTGCGAGAGTGCACACAGCGGGGGAGAGCCAACCCCACCAGAGCCACAGCGGAAGGCAGACAGAGCGGGGGAGGCCAGGACGGCCTCAGGCTTCTCCAGGGTGCGGAAGCCCCTCCACCGAGGAAGAGGAGCGGACCCACCCAGGGCACTCCAGAAGGGCGGAAGCACCCCTTTCCCCCGCACCCACCGAGGCAGTGGGAAGAACCCCGAGGTGAGGATCCGCCCGGCAAGGGGCGTTCCAAGGGCGGGGGCCCAAGCCCAGGTGGATGCCACGTCCGGTGCCGGAGTCGTCAAAGCCGTCCCTCATCCTGCTGTACGCTGGGAAGGATGATGCGGGGCCCTGGATGCTTACCTCCACGCCTACAACCCGCCTTCTCGGAGTACATTTGGGCGGTGGACATCAGGCGAAAGGGTGGAGATCTTGGACAGGACATGCTGGGAGAGGAGCCTTACTCTACGTCAAACCTCCACCTGGGGGCTGGCTATGGCCGGAGCCGGGCACCAGGTGGGTGCTGCTCAAGGCGGACGTCACCAAGGCCCACCGGAGAGTGAAAGTCCTCAGGAAGGACTGGCGGTTCCAGGTGGCTTCACTGGGGGAAGAATGGTGGGTGAACAAGGTAGGCACATACGGCATGGCCAGTGCCCAATCCTACTGGGGACGCCTGGCAGCCCTTCTACTCAGGGTCCTCTACGCACTCTTCCCTCAAGTGGATTGGAACTTCGTCTTTGTGGATGACTTCCTGTGGCTGCTTCGAAGCGAGGGGGCAGTAAACTTGGCGGTGGCGCTGCTGGCAACACTCCTGGCCTTGGGCACCCCGCTTAGCTGGAAGAAGACACATTTGGCGGAGGTCAACACGTGGCTGGGCTTCGTGGTCCACCCGAACATCCCGCAGGTTCTCATGGCCGCCAACAAACACATCCTGGTGATGGAGGTCTTGCAGACCATGGTGGAAGGGCAGGCGATGCACTCAAAGGACATCGAGAAGGCCCTGGGCCGCATCCAATGGGCAACTGCTGCATGTCCGCTGGCGAAGTCGATGCTCCAGCCACTTTGGGCCTGGAAGATGGCCACCACCACGGTGGGGAAACCCCCCAAGGTGGTCAGGATGCTGGCGTTCATGCTGCGGTTCCTCTTCAACACGCCCTTCGTCCAGTACTCCCCTTACTTGCCGAAGTCCTCTTGGTGGGGTTGCAGCGATGCTAGCGCCTCGGACGAAGGACTGGCATTTGTGGGAGGATGGTGCTCCAACAAAGTGGAGCCGGAAAAGAAGGAGGTGTACTGGTTCCACGAGCAGATCCACGTGGAGGAGTACCCTTGGGCATTCAAGAATGGGGATCCCAAGCGGAGGATTGCGGCTTTGGAAATGCTGGGCACGCTCTTCCTTTGTAACATGATCCTCACGCACCAAGGCCCTCTGTCCTCCCGGGTCCGACTCCCGGTGGGCAGTGACAATCAGGGCAACGTCATGGCGATGCTCAACCTTGGATCCAAGAAGCCCTACACCGCGGCGATCTTGATGGAGCTGGTCTTCCTGCTCCACACCCATGGCTGCTCGCTGGCGGCCAACCACGTGCCCCGGGAATTCAACCAATGGGCTGATGAACTGACGCACCCAGATTTCTCTGGGCTCGACCCTTTGCACAGGGTCCCCAAACAGGAACTCTGCGAGGAGTTCGTTTTTCTCCCTCGTCTCCTGAATGGAGATGCATTTGATCTTAGCGTGGGCCCACCCATGCTCCCGTGACCGGAGCCGGTGGGTGACTCACTTCCCCTGGTGGCAGACCCCTTGTGGGCTGGGTGCCCCGGGCCCCGGCTCAGGGGCGGGCGCTATCAGTCTGCACACCCGTTTCTTCAGTTTTTGAGAGTGTGAGTTGGGTGGCCCATGGGGCCCACCCAGCCTTTGACTTCTGACAGGGGAAGATGAGTCCCTGGCACCAACACATTGCTCGGATGAAAGAGTTATCGCGTGCTTGTGTGGTGCCGTTTGGTTAGCTTGCATACACTACCTCATATTTGGGGGGGTTCTCAATCTCAAATTGCAGTTTTGGAACCCGACATTGTCCCTTCAGACCGCTTGAGGAATATGTTTCGTTTGCCAATTCCTGTATTCTCCAAATGCCCGCTTTTTGTTGGAGCATTTCTGGGATTACCTGGTTTTCCAGGATAAACACCTCCTTTATTAGAAAAGGGTTGACATCATGCCCTGACAAAATTGGGGGTATTGTGTGTGAGGGGTACTCTCGGTCCGGCGTGCAGCTTCAAACAAATGGACGGGGTTGATCCGAACTTTTAGACGGCCAGGCACTCGAGTAATTAGTGGATTCCTTTCATTTGCCTTCCGTGGTTTGACTACTGGTCGTATGTTGTGTTGTTGTTGTTTTTTTTTCCAGGGGACATAAGCGAATGGATGGGTGGATTCGTTTGATTCCCAAGACCAACTATCATTGCCAGACTTAGCTCACCTGGACAAAGGCCCTTTTGCCTTTTTGGGCTTCCTGTCATATGTCCCATATCAGCAAGAAGTCGAGCAATTGTAAACCAGCAACAGTGTGATTTTTTTTGGCGGGAACCCGGTTGACTCGATCCGTGTGGCCCAAGAGGCATCCTCAGAGCGTTTTTTCACTTAAGATTCACAGTCTATCCAAGAACAGGGAGAGAAACATGGTGCTTGTCCTTCTTGTTTTCATTTACAACCAACAAACAAATGGGACCCCCCCCCCCCAAAAAAAAAGAGAGCGAATTCTCAAACACGACACACCCAGGAAAGCCCCTTTGACGTCCCATTTGTGGTCGGGCGACATGGAGGAATCCGATTCCATGGCTTTTGGTTTTTGCAGGGTCCAACCACGCCGCCAGTGTTCTTTTGGCCACTTAGGGACCCTGAGTTGGACTAAAGGTGACTGGGTTTGGACCATTTCAGCCGGCATAAACCGGTTGGCAAATGTTCTCAAGCGAGGCATCATTTGTTTTTCCTGGCCTGGGGCATCTCATTTTTGCCAGGTTTTGCCATAGATCAGGTCACCCTCGGTGGTTTGGATTTGTCCGGATTTAGATTTGAGCTCCACCTTCTGAAGGCAAACAAACCACCAAACCACCAATTTGATGCAGTTGGGGACACTTTCAGGTGAGTGGATGATTTTCACCCTGTTTACCTATGGTGGCAAGCCCTCGGGGGAAACCCCTGGCCGACCTTCCGCCCGCTTGGCTTGCCGGGCGTCGCTTAGGTGCAGCGCACCTTCGCCCTGGCGCGCCAGAAGCTCGGTGAGGTGCTCTCCGCTGTGGAGTTCTGCAACTCGGGATGCGAATCCAAGAAATCGATTGCCCGGGGTCTCGAACCGAATACAAGATGGGGTCACGACCAGAGGTGTCCTTTTGTGGTTGTTTTGGTCAGTGTGCGCCACAAATGAAAGGTAGT